ACCCTTGTTGTCCAACTTCTTTTGGAGCTGACCCATAACATGTCGAAATGCTATCAAACTGAAAACCTTCAAATGAATCACACTTGGTTTAAATCCATACCATACCTCTTTTGGAGTCACCTTATCAAGCTTCTTTGTATGGCACCTATTCAACAAATAAGTGGTTGTAGAAACGACTTCACCCTATAGTTTCTTCGACAAGTCTTTACTCTTTATCATGCTTCGAACCATGTTCATTATCGAACAAATTTCCTTTCGGCAATACCATTATGTTGTGACGTATAGGGTGGCACAACCTCATACATTATCCCCTCTTCATCACAATATTTCCCAAACTCATTTGAGGTATACTCACCTCCACCATCCGTTTTGAGAATCCTGAGGTTGCGACCATATTGCCACCCAACCATGGACTTGAATCGTACGAACACATCAAATACCTCATCCTTCCTCTTGATTAGGAATATCCATAGTTTCATACTAAAATCATCGATAAATGTGACGACATACCTATTTCCACTATACGAATCGACTTGCATCAGTCTACACACATCAGAACACACCACCTCAAGATGATGCTTGGTCCTATGACTTGCATCCTTGCTGAAATTACTCTTGTGCATCTTCCCTGGTACACAATATTCATATATCTCAGCTGGAATGTTGATTCTTGGCAACCCGGTCACCATACCATTCCTTTGTAACACGTCAAGATCACGACAATTGAGATGTCCAAGACGGTAGTGCCACAACCACTCTTATCGACTTGTCACTGTAGCTAAACACATATGTTCCATCACTTTAGACTCCACCTTGAAAGTCTTATTGGCAGCCATAGAAGCCTTAAGGATCAAAACACCGTTTGCATTCACAATGCACAAAATCTTGTCTTCCAAGCGAATTTTCTAACCCCTCTCAAGAAATTGGCCAATACTCAAGAGATTACACTTAATTCCCGGAATATACAAAACATCCTTGATCATAGAATATCCATCATTCTTCTTTTCGATCAAAACATCACCGACACCTTCGGCCGCTAGAGTTAGGGGTGAGCAAGGGACGAGTCGGGATGGGTTATGACTAACCCTAACCCTGTCCTAAAGTTTGATCGGGTTATTTTAATGACCCTAACCCGTCCGTACCTAAACCCGTAAAAATCTCGATAATATGTCATCACTTTTTTCCCCCTAAAACATAGTAAGAAGATGTAAAATAAAAAATATGATTTAAGATAACAGATGTGTACTTAGTATTTACTTAGTGCATATATTAAATTATGAGGTGAAAAGTGGAAAATTCTATTGAAAATTTGGAATAATCTAAATATACCAATAAATTAAATAAATAAATAAATAAATAGTATCACATGTCCATTCATAATATTAGGACGGGTTGGGTAACCCGAGGGTCAACCCGAACCCATCCCACCTATATTGGGTTGGGACGGGTCTTCGGGTTGGGTTTGGTTCTGCTCACCCCTAACAAGAGTGGTATCATCCGCAAATTTTACTCTACTTTTTGCAACTTGATTGATTTGCACAAACCAATCATTTCTACCTGTCATATGTGTAGAACAACTAGAATTCAAGTACCATTCATTGCTGCCTTGGAATCCATCTCGAACCATAATCATTACATTTTGCTTCGAACACGTTTCTGCGGCATTTTTCAAACTATTGCAGCTGTTGTCCCACAATTGACAGCTGCTACTGCTGCCCAACACACCTTTAATGCCATGATTCTCCTTCGTGATCATAACTAAGAGCATATTTCCATCATTTACATATTCCCTTGCAACTATAGCTTCATCGCTTTGATTCTCCCTTGATCTTGCGCGACACTCTTTTGCAAAATGACCAAATCTATGACAATTATAACATTTCGACTTACTCTTGTCAAACTTCTTAAAGTTGCCGCCTTTACCACTATCTTTGGAGCTGTTTTCACCCTTTTGCACCATTGAAACTTTCGAATTTTGTGGATCATTTCCACCAAAATTCTTTGAATTTTGCTTCTCCTTCGAAGTCCATTTTCTTTTGATTTTCTACTCTTCTCGTTAAGCTGCGTTTGCAACGCGACCTCCGCTTTTGCTTTATCGCTTCCTTTCTCATCCATCCTTTGCTCATGAGCCTCAAGAGAGCTTTAAAGCTCATATTTGCTAAACTTCACAAAATCCTTCGACTCTTCGATATCCACTACAATATTGTCAAGTCTTGACGTTAAAGAATGCAAAATCTTTGACACAACATTCTGCTTCAAAATAGTTACTTCGCAAGCCTTGAGTTGATTCACCAAATGCGTAATACGCGTCACATAATCGTTGATCGTCTTCTTCTCTTCCATTTGAGTTAACTCGAATTGCCTCTTGTGAGTTTGTAACCTCACCACCTTAGCCTTAACAACCCTAAGCTTTCTCCAAGATCTCCCAAGCTTACTTTGCCGACTCACAATCGCCAACTTTCTCAAAGTTGTCACCATCGACGCAAGAGTGAATCAAGAAGAGTGTCTTGTAATCTTTCTTCTTTTCTTCCTTGAATGCAGCCTTTTGAGTATCTCTAGCTTCAGCCCCAAGCGATGTAACTCCATTATTGATGATCTCATGAACTTCTTGATACCCAAATAGAACATTCATTTGCTTCGACCACTTGTCATAATTCTTCGAATCAAGAATCAGAAGGTCGGTGGAAATTCTATCGTTGAAAACGGTACTCATTGTTGCAGCGAAATTGGATCAGAACAAGTGCTCTTGATGCCAAATGTTAAAACATACTCAAACTATATTGGTGAATTAATTGAGAATTGAGTTAATCTGGAGAAGATGAAGTTAAGAGATTGAGAGAGAACTGAGAGAGAGTAATTGGGGGTGTGAAAAATAACTGGCATTAACCATAATGTGAGAGCTTACAAGACCTTTTATATGGCAAGTACACACAACCAACGAGATACAACAAAAATAGCTTAATCAAATAAGCTGATACAAACAGAAAACAAAAAAAACAAAAAAAAACACCTCCGTAACCGGTTACGCAAAATGCCGTAACCTATTACGAGTCCGTGTCAGCACTTCTTCAGCCAAAAAACAACTCCTTAACCAGTTACGCCAAAATCCTTAAACCGGTTACCACAATTGAAATGCTAAAAATTTGTTTTCAATATTTACAAAGTTAAGTTTTATTTTACTTTAATTATTATCACTTGTTTCCTTTATTTTATTAATTCTAATTATTTAGCTCATTATTTTTAAATAATCACAACTTTTCCTATTTTTTTTATTATTATTCTATTTTATTTTATTAAACCTTATATAATAACATAAATTAAATCACAAGGCACACCAAAAATTGAATAAAAATTTTAATAAAATTTTTAGGGTGTTATATTCACGAACAACAAACTCCTGTTTAATTGTAAATTGTTTACCATCATCTATCTTGACATCAACTGATTTAACATTCATAAGCACATTAACTTTGGGGATAGTGTTAGGGTGCACCATATATAAGGCCAATCATTGCGGATGAAAGAGCTTCCGCTTGAGGGGGAGCATAGTAGATGGACTCACACTTGAGGGAGAGATTGTTCGGAAACAAGTGCGAGTTGTGTTGATAAATAAGTATGAGTTCTAAGTACCACATTGCTTAGAAAAATGGAGGTTGGACACTTTATAAGTAAGATTATCCATACACCTATCACCTTAAGGTTTTGAGAGAATATGTGGTGTCTCTCTTACTTGTTTGGGTGAGTCTTTGACCTTTAGGTGAGTCTTTGATCCAATGTGAATGCTTCCCCCTCACTGATGACCCATCACTACGTGCGTCCAAATATGTACTTTCAAAATGTTGGAAGGGTTTCATTAGGGTGACTCTTCGCCACTAAGGGTGGGAAGAGAAACCCTCATGTTTTTTATCGACATCTAACACTATACTAACATAAAAAAAATGTCATAGACTTTCAATGATATGGTCGCAATAAATATAAGATGAAACATAAAAGACATAGAGAGGTCAACTAAGATTCACTTTTTGAGATTCATTTCAATCAAGAGGGTGGCGAAGTATCTCAAAGAATCAATAAGCCAAAGAATACATAGGTAAAATTACATAGATGATCCGATTTTAATTACATAGGTGATCTTAATAATAGAAAAAACACCTTAAAGTATGTGTTCATGTTTTAACTTTTGATCATGGCATATGACTTAGAAGAATCATCGATAAACTTCACAAATTTTAAAGAAAACAAATTATGATATTGATTTGTGATGATAATTATTTTATAAAATAGTAATGCATAGAGGATGTGAGCAGCTGTTTTACCTGCACATTAGTGCGGAGCAGGTCAAGGGTTTAGGCCTTCACCCTCTTATGTGTCCATTTCACCCCATCCTATTTTTTTTCGCGGAGTTTTGCAGGCATGAGAATTTATATAAATTTATGTGTTTTTAAGTTTAAAAGGTACAGTGTTCGCAGTCTTTTCCCGTCTTACCCTTATTTTTTTGCAAAACAAAAATAGTTTTAGCCTCACATTTTCAACTATGACCGCCTTAAGCCGTTTGATTTTGTTGCGGGTTTTTGCATAGAAAACTTAAATAGAGTAGACTGGCCCGTTTACCATTCCTAGTTAGAAGTAAGTTGTTGATTAATAGTAACCTAATTGTAGTCACTTATTTGTGATGTAAGTAAGCTATAACTTACTATAAGCTTACAAAGTATACTAACTATCGAAACAACTTTTATGTATATTTAATATAAATATATTTTTATTCTTATATTTCCAATTTTTACCCGTCTTGGTTATATTCAAAATAGAATCAGCGATTGACCCATAAAATTAGCCATAAACTCATTAATGGTAAAATCGTCAATTTACCCACTGAGCACATTATATAAAGTCTACACTCACAAACCCTAAAAATTCTTTCGCATTCTCAAGTGGCCACGGTGATACACAGCCTTGCCGGCGATCATCCTCTTCAACAAATCTTCCGCGGCTAGGCGAAAATGGTATGTTTCCGATCTCGATTTTATCTCTCTCCTCCGGGTGTTTCTGAATAACCATTGATTTTGTAGTTATTTTTTTGTCATGAATGATAGTCTTTGGTGGCAAACGAAGAATTTCAGCACATTCTGCGTGTGCTGAACTCCAACGTCGATGGGAAGCAGAAGATAATGTTTGCAGTGACCTCCATCAAGGGTATTGGAAGACGATTTGCTAACATTTGCTGTAAGAAAGCTGATATTGACATGAACAAGAGGTTTCTACTTTACTTTTATCGATTGCATATGTAAAAATCCTATTTTTTTGATGTTCTTGTTGATGATAAATGAGTGATTTTTTGTTGTTGGGATATTTAGGGCTGGTGAGTTGAGTGCTGCAGAGTTGGATAATTTGATGACAGTGGTTGCAAACCCTCGTCAATTCAAGATACCAGATTGGTTCTTGAATAGGAAGAAGGATTACAAGGATGGCAAATTCTCTCAAGTTGTCTCCAATCATCATGACATGAAGTTGAGAGATGATTTGGAGAGACTCAAGAAAATCAGGTATATGTTCAAAGCAATTCCTCTCAATAAAATGTCGTTTCATTATTGATTTCATTCGAGTTTAGCCAGGTTATCAAGTGTTAGTGGATGTGTGATGGAAAATGTAATTTGTTTTGCTAAATTAGTGTTGTTATTTATCTTCAGGGTATGTTTAAGTTAGCATTTTAACAGCAATTTCTAGAACTAATGAAGTTGGACTTGTATAAGCAAATTGTTTCTTTAAGCTTAAATTTAGGCAACTGAAACTTGCACGTAGAGTTGTTTGTTGGTTCCTATCGAATGACTTGTAGTATATGGTTTTGTCTTGTGTCTTGGATAGATAGCCCCAAGGTGGTAGTGTCAGCGTTCTGCACTACTTAATATATGCACCTGCTTGGTGAATTGTAACATTGGAGAAAATTGCTTTCAAAAGTCACGCTTTCATAAGTCACCGTTAACACAGAGCTTCAATGTATAGCTTCTAAATTTTCACATAAAAAATGCGTAATTCCAAACGCAATACCAAACATATGCTATATTCATTTTGGTGCTGGGACAAGATGTGTCTGAAATGATGTATCTCATGCATAATAGTTCTGCTTTGTCTAGTCAAATTTTGTAGTTGATATCATATTGAAGGATTTATATGGACAAATAGGGTATTGGCTTAGTTATATTTTGGCTGTTGTGGTAACACTCAAAGACTTACATCCTTTTTAATATGCAGAAACCACCGAGGTTTGAGGCATTACTGGGGCCTTCGTGTTCGTGGTCAGCATACCAAGACTACTGGACGCAGGGGAAAGACTGTTGGTGTCTCAAAGAAGCGATAAGCTTTTATGTTTTGATTTGGAGATTAGATATTTTGAGGCATATTTTTTTAAGCACGTTAGACATGATTTATATATTGATTTTGTATGGCTTTTGAATGAATATTGTGCCAATTTCAATTTTGTTTGGTTTGTGTTCAAGTGTTTGATTAGTTTTATTGTGTTGGTAAATAATTAATGTATTTGGTCGGTTTATAGACTAGATATATTGATTGTTTAATAAATCTAAAAAGTGAGTTGTCTTTTATAAAAAAGAACGGAGGTAGGAATATTTAATAATGATAGGAATATTGGCAAGAACAAGTACCCAATAGCACTCGTTGAAGTCGTAAGGGCCTCTACCAACTAAGCCTGAGTTTTGCTGTCCATTGTGGTCCTACCTGATTTGAGGGTTAGGCAATATGCAGAACTTGGTTGGTTTTTGTTTTGGATTTGTATGGCATTTTAATCGTTGCTTGGGTTCATGGAATTTTGTAATGCATGTTTTTATTTGTAGTTTGTAGACACAGGTTTTATGTTAAACGGTTAACGGTTTTACAAATAATGTTTTGTATGAGTGTTCTTAAAGGGTTGCTTTGTAAATTACTCTTTTGAGTCAAATATATAGTAGCCTGTATTTGAAATAAAGAGTCTATAATCCTTTATGTTGTTTTATTGTGTACACCAATAATTTTGTTTTATTAAATAAAAAGCTCTATTTCTTCTCCGATCAAACAACAATTTTTAATGATACGACTCTAAGAAATTCATATTGGTTTCACAATTTTATATCATTTATTAATATTTTATTTAGATTTAATTTATTATAAGTTGAAAATTAATTTAAATATTTATAATTAATTTGTTATAAGTTGAAATATTAATTTAAATATTTGTAAAGACTAGCATAAAAAATAATATAAATAAAATAAATTTGATTATTAAAATATTTTAGTCAAAGTAAAATTAACATTTAAAACTACTCATTAAAATTGTTTGCTAAAATTTTAACTTTAACAATTATATTAATATTAACTCAAATGTACTTTTGATCCATTAGTTTTGGATATTTTAAATAATTGATCTTTTATTATAAAATGAGGTGGCGGTATTCTATGTCATCAAATGAGTTTATTTTAATTTATAAAATATCTAAATCATATTTTAATTAAATATTATTTTAATTGTTAAAAAATTATAGATAATATCTCTAATTAATTTCTTCACTTGTAAATCACCTTCAACCCAAAAATCCTAATTTTCCTTCAACCCAACAATCCTATTTTCGTTCATCTGTTTCATCTTATTCTTTTCCTCTACGGCCTTTCTTCAACGATTAAAACTTCGGCGGCTTTATCAATACAAAATTAAAACTTACATTGAAATCTTGGTTTTATCAAGATGTGAAACCTTTTCTGTGTGTTACCTTATACCTTTATTTTTATTTTTATTGTTTCTCATTATAATAAGAAAAGAAGAGGAAAATAATGTAACTAACAGTACTGTGAAACATTCAACACAGCAGTAACATAAAAACTCATGACAACGGGAAGACTCTTAACTGCATTTCACATAAGTGATTTTTCAACGTGCAAACATATTTTTTCAAGCGATTTCAGAAATTTGTGGTTTTACGCAGCAATTCTCAAACGTGATTGCAACAACAACGCCATCGCGCTCGGATCTTTCGATACATAATCTGTCTAAAATTCAGAGTTGCATTTGGGATTCAGAATTCCGTTTCGGTTCAGCTCGTGTTGTTCATGCTTCAGCTTCTAATTCTCCTCTTCCCCTTTTGTTTCGATGCAAAACAAACCTTCACAACTCCAAAAAATTCCTCTTGAATACAAACAACAACTGCCATTTTGAATGCAAAACAAACCTTCACAAATCCAAAAAATTAGCTGAAATGCAAAATGATACCGTTGAACAATTTGAATGCAAAATTAGATATTTTTGTGATTTTAGATCTGAGCCTGTGACAAGCATTTTAGATCTGTAAATTTAGATATGGGTTTGTGACAATGATTTCATATCTGTAAATTTAGATATGGGTTTGTGACAATGATTTTAGATCTGTGTGTTTGAAAAAAAAAGTTTTTGGAATGAACACAGTTATGTTTTCAGTAATAGTAGAGAAGAAGAAAAACGATGGAAGATAGAAGATATTGAAGAAAAACGACCGAAGAGAAGAAGAAGATGCAACACAGTAAAGCATTTTATATTTTCAACCGTTTATAATTTGTTTTTTAAATTTACAATTTTTTTAATATTTTCTAAATTAAAATATTCATGCGGTAATTAAAATATTAAGAATCGGTGATATGGATCCTATTAATGAAGTCCATCAAAATGATAAGTTTTCACATAAGGAAAAATAAGAAAAAATGAATAGGGATCATACAAATCTAAAAGTTCATCAAAATTAAGGGTTCAAATTTACTAGTTTTGTATTAGGGGAACCAATTATGCCTTCCACCGTTGTAATATCGCAAACGGTGATAAAATGAGCAGTATAAAGTTCAAATTCTGTCAATTGTATTTTTTTCATTTTTTCTATTACAAAAAGCGTGTGATTGAAAATTTTCTTTATTTTTCAAGATACTCACAAGTCATTCAAGAATATCAACCATTAGTATTAATCATTATAACTATTAAGTCATCAAATGTTTCATCTACAACCACTTCTATAAATGCACAATTTTATATAATGAATTTTCACTTCTTCAAACTATTCTTCTTAACTTCATAAAACAACATGAGTTCTCCATCTGAAAATGCTAATAGAAATATCTCAACTGAAGTCACCACAATACAACACCGTGATCAACCGTCAACTAAGGAGATTCAGCCATCTCGAGCCACCACTGTCAGGGATATACTTAGTTAGGAATACCAAAAGAAAAAGAAGAAAAAGCTGAAAAAGAAGAAAAATGTGTTGAGGAAGATTTGTTATTATGATTCTGACGAGGGTAGTGAGGAGAGAGCCATAGATTATGAAGATTCTTTTGCTGCTAGGGGTTATTATTCTGAAATTGACAAAATTATGTAATGAAAAAAATTATGTTTTATGTACTCTTTCCTTTCGGACCTCTTAATGAAGTTATGTTTTATATACTCTTTCCTCCTTACAAAAAAAAAAGAAGTAAAAACTAACAAAAAAAAACAACAATAATGAAGAATAATAATAACAACAATTAAAAACTCTCTCACCATTGCGTACATAAATAGATAAAAATAATTGAAAGTTGTATAACCACGATTTTACAATACAACCGTTGTAAAATTTGAATATTGCATCACGTTTTTTCTTTCTAACCGTGAAGAAAAGTGATAATTTTAAGTATATAAGCGAAAATATATATCGTTCAGTACATAACAATTGTTTCTCTCAAAAGAAAACTCTAACATATTTCACTATTCTCTATCATAACATAACCCTAACATCTATTTCACTTTTTAAACATACTTCAACCTTAAGGTTCGTCTTCACCAATCGCTATCTTGAGGTTCATTCATTAAAATTATGTTTCGATTTTATTTACGTTTCTGGTTAAAAGTGAGTTCTTATTTTTTTAGATTCGTCTTCACCGCGTTAACGAAGCACATACTTTGGCTATGATACATATGATTTATGTAGCTATGAAGAAAAAATACAAGAAGTATGAAGTATTGTGTAAACTTTATTCACCTTATATTTCTTCTTCATAGCTTCATAAACTAGATGAACTTCATAATTTATTCAAGACCCATTATTAGTTAAAAAAAATATATGTTCTTGAAACATTACATAATATCTTGTTTTGTTGTATGTTGTTCTTGTTGTTGTTATTACATATATATATATATTTTTATTTTATTGTATGTTGTTGTGTTGTTGATAATGTTGTTGTTGATTAATATTTTCAAAACAAGAACAAAACATTGCTAAGAAGATTTACCCACTACCCCTTTCTCTCCATCTTCCACTCTCGGATGAAACATATAGCCCTAGCCTACCATTTTGTCCGAGAAAATGTTCAAAATGGCAAATTTCGGGTGTCTTTTGTGTCTACATATGATCAGCTTGCTGATATTTTAACAAAGCCTCTACTTCGCCCTCGGTTTGAGTCGTTACTGTCCAAGTTGCATATCTCTTTCAGATTATACAACTTCCGGGAGGATATCAATACTAATAATTAGTCTTAATTCCTGTAATCATTTAGAATTATAAATCCCTATTCTTTAGGCTAAAGATCAACGTATGGTTAAAGGAGAATTATGAGGAGATTTGATTACCTTGATTCAGTCCATAATTAGGCTTTTCAACCTCTGTATTTATACTGACAGAAAGTAATAATAAAATAAATAATATTCCATTCACCTCTAATCTCTTATACTAAGTCACAAGAAAGAAGCTTCTTGTGACTTATCAATGTTTTGTTCTTGTTCTGATACCATTGATAAATGTTTTGTTCTTGTTGATAAATGTTGTTGTATGTTATTGTTGTTGTTGATTAATGTTTTCAAAACAAGAACAAAACATTGATGAGTCACAAATTCTTGTGACTTAGCAATGTTTTGTTCTTTAAATTCTTATATCTTATGTAGATGACGTTGAGTTTATTATATGTTATGTACATTGTTTGTTTCACTAACCCTTCACTGAAAATACATTTTATTTAAATTGACATAGAAACTTATAATCTGAAAATTAAGTTGTATTTGAAAACCAACTTATATCAGTCAACGTTTTTCGAATTGCATCTGTTTCATCATTCATCTCACGTTATTTAACATATAGAATGTGGGTCAATGATCTGATTCCTTTATTATATCCATATCTTCTCTTATAGTTTAATTTGAATAATAACAATTTATTGATATTATTCAAATTAAACTAGAATATAAGAAATTGATGTCATGAACGAATTAGACTATTGAACCACATTCTATAGGTTAAAGAGTGGAAAATGAATTATGCGACACATGTAATTTGGAAAACAGTGGTTTGTGTAAGTTGGTTTGCAAGAATAGTTTAATTT